ATGTTGAAAAAAATAAAAAACTGTTTTTCACAGCCAACGACTTTATTTTAATTAATTATTTTTTGAAACAAAAATTGTGTTTTTTTTGAAAGTGTCACAACATCCCCGATCTACAAAAATGGACACAATTGAACGAAACCCAATTTTAGCGTTTTTAATGTCACGAAAAGGCAAAATGAGCACCAACATTGGGAACCATTTTATGTTGGTACCAATTTTGAGCCTTGGTTCAGTTGGGAAGGTAAAAGTGATAAAAGGTTCAAGGGTACGTCCTATGCCTCTTCGATTATGATTTCATGGTACTCGATAACGCCTTTTTGGTACACAAACCAGGAATAAAAAAAATCACACGTGACAAAAAACGGTTAAAATTGTACAACTTTAAAAAGAACTGTAAAGTCTAGTGTTTAAAAATTATTATCGCCGACACAGGAAACAAATTTTTTTTCATTGCCAACAAGGGAAACAATTTTTTGTAATTTTTAGAGTAGCAAGTGTAATATCGAGAAGGCTCATATCAATCACTCAATTGTTTTAAGTTTTTTTGACAGTTATTTGACATTTATGTTAAAAAAAATAACTGTTTTTTTCACAGCCAACGAGTTTATTTGAATTAATTATTTTTTAAATCAAAAATTGTGTTTTTTTCGCTGTTGTTTTGTTTATGGACACAATTGAACGAAACTCACAATTTTAGCGTTTTTAATGTCACAAAAAGGCAAAATGAGCACCAACTTTGGGAAACTATTTTATGTTAGTACCAATTTTGAACCTTGGTACGCCTTTTTGGTGCACAAACCAAGAATAAAAAAAAATCACACGTGACAAAAAACGGTTAAAATTGGAGAGAAAAACCAACGAGTTTATTCAGGAACGGTTTTTGCCAGAAATGAATTTTTTGAAACAACTGTAAAGTGTAGTGTTTTTTAAACAAATTATTATCGCCTATCTAGGAAACAAATTTCTTATCATTGCCTACAAGGGAAACAATTTTTTTTGTAATTTTTAGAGTCCCTATAGTTTAGACTATACAGAAGGCTCTTGTCAATCAATCAATTGTTTTAAGTTTTTTTGACAGTTATTTGACAGTAAAAAAAAATAACTGTTTTTCACAGCCAACGAGTTTATTTGAATGAATTATTTTTTGTGTTTTTTTGTTTTTTGACAGCCCCCGATTCGAAAGTGGCGCGTTGGTTGCGACAGCTGCACCCGGGCGCTCCGAGGGGGCCACGCCGCGCAAGTCAACCCAACCGCCCTTCGTCCGGCTCAGTCAACCTCGTGTGTCTCAGGAGCGAGGCGGCGCCCCCAAACCGCCGTTGCCAGGAGCTCTCACACCCATCAAAAACCCATCAAAATGGACGCTTTCGAGGCATGGCGGAGCTACGCCACCATCTGTCGTCTCTGCCTCCAGAAGGACGGCTTCATGTTGGGCATTTTCAACAACGTCCAAGGCAAAGACAAGAGCATCTACAAGAAGATCATCGACTGCACCGCCTTGCAGGTTAGTCCATAACAAAGTTGTAAAGACACTCCCAGGACCCCCGACAGCCCCCTTGAGGCGGTTTGGCCACCGGAAGTGTCAAAATTCGGCCGATTTTTGCTTTTTTCCCATGGGTTATGGCGGCGTTGCCACGTCACGTTTTTCACCAATTGGGGTGTTTTTACCGCGATTTTCCGATAAAAATGTGTCCCCCGACTCGGTTAGTGTGCAAAAAGTGGGTAAAATGCCGGTTTTGGGGCTTTTTAACGATAATTTTCGTTTGTTGGGGTCGATGTGGCAACGCGGTGAGGAAATCGTTACCGTTACGTACGCGACCAATCACAACAACGCGCCAAATTTGAATTTAACGTGACAAATACGGTCGATAAAATTAGATAGAGATGAGGAAATGGTAGAGAGAGATGAGAAATTTAAATATTTGAGGGTGTTTTGCGACTAAATCGGGTCAAGGACACTGGAATGTAGGTGGCCTTGACATGATTTCACTTTTTTCAATTGTTTCATTACTACAGTTTATTTCAACACAATAAAACGTTGCGTATTTATTACATATTATTTATTTCAACATTATTTGTAATATTTTTATATAGAGTAGATTTCAAATCTATAAAACAAAACATTTTAAATACTAAAAAATTTACATTGTTTTCAATTTGGTAAAAAACGAGTCATTTGCTATTTTGTTATTTTTTTTTCTGCATTTGACCTAAAATATATTTCAAATTAATAAAAATTGACAAAAAAATTTTGTTCAATTTTTGATATAACCTTAGTTTTTTGTACAGATGACGATGTTCTTTTGTTTTGGAAGTGAAATATGTTTCAAATTAATAAAAAAACAACAAAATTACTCTTTGTTTTTGATCTTAATGTTAATTTTGACTTTATAGAAAGAAATAGACAACTAACAATACACAACCTTTATATTGTGGCAATAAAATACAAAACCGTTTATATAGGCAACCAACAATACACCATTTGTCCCTTTGTAGATAGAGTACTTTTCAGCACTATAAAAACCGCTTTTATATGCTATTTTGTTTATTTTTTCATTACTACAGTTTATTTCGACACAATAAAACGCTTCATTTTTATTGCATAATATTTATTTTAACATTATATGTAATATTTTTATGTAGAGTGGATTTCAAATTTATAAAGTAAAATGTTTTTTGATACTAAAAAATTTACATTGTTTTTCAATTTT